TAGGTTCCTCTTGGCCCAGCTCTCCAGTCTGTCTGAATCTCGCTGAATGGCCCCACAGCCTTCAGCTGTATCAGCCAAACCTCCCAGATTTGTATAATTGGCAATCTTGCTGAGAAGACACTTGATACCATCATTGAGGTTGTTAATGAAGATGTTGAACAGGACTGGCCCAGCACTGATCCCTGGGGGACTCCCCTAGTTACAGGTCTCCAGCTGGACTTGGCACCATTGATCCCCACCTGTTGTGCTCTATTGTGCAGCCAGTTCTCCACCCACCTCACTGCCTGTTCCTCTAGCTCATATTTCCTGAGCTTGCTCAGGAGGGTGTTATGGGGAACTGTATCAAATGCCTTGCTAAGGTCAAGGTAGACTACATCAGCTGCTCTCCCTGCATCTACCCATTCAGTCACTACATCATAGAATGGTATCAGATTAGTCAAGCACGATTTCCCCTTGGTAAATCCATGCTGACTAGTCCTGAGAACCTTCTTCTCCTCCATGTACTTAAGAGATGACCTCCAGAATGAGCCGCTCCATCATTTTTCCCAGGATGGAGGTGAGGCTGACTGGTCTGTAGTTTCCTGGATCTTCCTTCTTGCCCTTTTTGAAAACTGGCATGACATTGGCTTCCCTCCAGTCCTCAGACACCTCTCCTGTTTGCCACGATCTAGCAAAAATGATGGAGAGTGGTAAGAGTGACAACTTCAGCCAGTTCTCTCAGTACTCTTGGGTGCATCTCATCAGGGCCCATGGACTTGGGCATATTCAATTTCCCTAACTGATCACTAACCCAGTCTCCATTGACCTGCAGGGAGTCTTCCCTCCTCCAGGCTTTCTCTCCTACATCTCGGGTCTGGAGTTCACAAGAGCTGCCCTCAGGATTAAAGACCAAAGCAAAGAAGGCATTTAGCAGCTCTGCCTTCTCTGCACCCTCAGTTACCAGGGCTGTGCCTCGTTCAGCAGTGGGCCCACGTGTCCCCTCTTGTTCCTTGTTCTTGATGACAATCAAGTCGATAGATATGTTAGTCTCAGCCTTTGGAGTTAGGAGATGGATAGTTTTTTTAACCACAGCCTGGAGCATCTTTTTCTGTATTATACTACAATATTAGGAAAGATTCCACCTAGCATAAAGATCTAGGAGGATATATTCTTCCATATCTGTTACAGACTTTGATAGCAGTCCTTGATTTAAAATAGCATCTGTCTAGGTCAGTCAGAGGTATCACAGACACCAGTATAATGGGCATACTGCTTGCAGGTGTCAATTCTGTTGCACACACTGTGGCAAGGATTTATTTTTTTTTTTAACTAACAGCCAAAACGTGAAGACACTTTGCTAGCTGTTGCTAAGAACTCAGTGCAATGAAGACATGTCAGCGATGGAAGAATGTATTAGCTGCCAAGGCGTTCATCGTTCTTTGGAGACTCTGATGTGGAGAGACAGTAAAGTGATGCGTCTGCAGTTCCATACCAGTTCTTAATTTTCAGCAGTATACTTGTGTTCTCATAGCTGACAGATCTGTCTTTACAGGGCTCTTGTCTCAAAATGAACCCATTTGCTTTCTGGTTGAGTTTTAAGTTCTGTTTCTGTTCTGTGGATCGCTGAGGTCCTGATGCTGCAGTACTCTGTAGGTTTGTGTTGTAATATGGTTTCTTCTGGAAGGAAGACAGGATTGTTGCTTTGCTTTCTAGCCCTGGATCAAAGACTTTGTATTTTGGTAACTAGACTGAACATGCAAAACTTATTTTATCATGTGGGTTTATCCTTACAGAATTTTATGGTGAAGATAACAAAGCAAGACCCGTGGATTGGACTCTATAAAAGAAATGAAGAGTTCTTTTGGGTAAATGGGAAAGCATTAGACAATAAACTGTAAGTTGATGTTTAGAGTTTTTGCTGGTGATACTAGGTTATAGAGGAGTAAAAAAGGATATCTAATACAGATATAGACAATGAAAGAAATAATCTGTAATGATGTTGAAGGGATGGCTATGGAGAGAGTGTGGAATACAATAAAGCTTTCACATAACTTTCCTCTGTCACTGTTTTAACAACGCTAGTTAAATTTGTAATGCCAGGTTCAGAAGCAACATGAGACATGTTCAAGGTAACAGACAGTATAGCAAACTGAAAGCAAAACCAAGAGACCACCAAGATGCCAAAACAACAGGGGAAGGAACAGAAGATTACAGTAACAGAAATTCCTCATTATAGAATATATTTTGCTAAAGTGCAAACCTGTATGCAACCTGCATGAGGTTTGTGGCAAAGATATTTGGAAGGCTTCTAAGAGATGCTTTCATACTTCTCACAAAATATGCCTGCGAAAACAGCTGCTGGAAGGAAAGCTGAAGTTGTGAATTTATGCTGCATAAGCTGCTCTGTGGTTGTGGCCTTGTGCTCTGTCCCCTGGTGTCAGGCAGCTTGTTCCTCCCACTGACAGCTTCTCAGAGACTGTTGCTTCTCATGCTGGGGCAGCTGCTGGCCAGAACTGGTAGAATTACCAGTGACAGTAATAAGCATTGAGATTTCACAAGTCCAAAGTGAACTTAAGAAGTGGAAAATTTTGTGATGTTACTGGTGATACATGCTGTTATACTCAGTTCATCCCCAAGACTTGAAGGCTGGATCTGATAAAAGCCTTACGCATTTTCTGAGAGTTGTGAGTAGCACGTAAACATCTCAAGTTGAAAACTGGAGTGCTTCCCACTCTTGGGTTATCCCCTGCCTGTGATACAAATATCCACTGACATTTTCATTTTCAGTGATAAAGGTCTTCACATTCTTAGATTTCTGCTTGTGTCTGAAACTGCCCCTGCCACCGCCCCTGTCTTTAGAATGGCAAACACCTTGAAGTCTAAGCTCAGCTGCTATTAAAATCCTTTTAATAGCTTGTCCAGAGGATGTACTAGTTTGGTTGGTTTACTCACAAAACACTGTAACATTGTTTAGAAACAAAATTGGCAAAGGAGATAGTTACCTTTTACTTAAGAACACCTACAGTGTGGAAACTGAGGTTTGCTTCCTGTTTTCCACCACCCCCTTAACCATAGTGCTGTGTTTTGTTCTGAGGAAGAGGGAAATGAGAGAGGCATTTGTTCCACAGCTTCTGCTGGAACATTTTAGTTCTACAGAAGGATGTGGAATTCAAAGGTGGAGCTAGCTGTGACAGCACAACATCTGTGTGGATTTCAGAGACCTGAAATCCGGTCTCTGCCCTGAGGGCCCATTTCACATTCAATGACCACTAGACAAGATGCAGGAGTACTGCAAGTCCTAAATACTGTGTTCTGGGGACAAGGTCCCATTAAAAAATGTCAGCCTTTGTGGTGTTCTCCTCAAAGCACAAGTTCTCCTCCTCCTGTGATGCTCTGCCTCTGGTAAATCTGGCTTTGTACAAAGAGAACCTGTGATCCCCGTAGTTCCCATTGCTCTATTACTTTATTTGATTGTGGGTGTCAAAGTAATAGTGTCTTTCATTCTCCCTTACAGGGTTGAAGTAAAAGGATCTGGAAACTGTGCCTATCTTGAGTCAAAAGGAGTCTCGGCCTCAGGATGTTATTTAACCAGGAAGTGGGTCTGTAGCTTGAGCACTGGCTTAGCGTGACAAAGGTGGATGAAGCCACCACCCCTGACACCTAGTGCTCTGATGTAGCTCTACACAGAGTGTGTCCATACTCTGGGAGCTGGGAGTGCGTCTCAGCTCCTGCCTGGAATTATTTTTCAGATAGCCAGAATTCTCCACCCGTGGAGGAAGGCTCCATTTTTGAGAGATGCCATTTAAAAGACTTGCTTCAACATCTTCATAAGTCACTTCCTTGCCCGGTTTTCTGGCTACTGCTCAGACTATAGTTTCTTTTTGTTTTGTCATCAGTGTTTCTTTCATTGACTCTTCTCTTTTAGGATCCTAAGCAGCTGTTCTGTCTTTTCCTTTTTGGTGGGCAGTGTGAGGTAGTTGGTCTGTGTTTCCCATAGGCAAGCTCTGTGTGCAGGGATGGGTTGTGAAGCGGGGCTGCCTCATGCTCTGCAGTGCCTCTCAGATACAGGGTGTTGCACAAGGGAGCACTGTTGTTTTAGACAGGATTGTTGCAGATTGTACTCTCCCAGTTTGTTTGGGTCTATCTTGTGTGACTCTGGATTGTGTCAAGTGTTTTATTAATGTTACTTTACATTTATCTTGTTAAATTAACTTGACAGTATTATCATTGGGATTTATGTAGCTGCACTGCACCTGAAGTTCTTCCCACAGCACTTATCTTAACAAAAAAAAAGGTCAGAATAGATAAGAGAATTCATCTGAGCATCTGCCCTGATGGGGAAAAACAGTTTGAATTGGAAAAGTAATAGTGAAGCTGCAGGCCTTAATGTTCTGAAGTTAGAAATAGTTCTTAGCAGGAACAGGCAAAATTATGAGTAGAGAATTAATAGCAAGGGATGTCCTGTGCCTGTTGGACCAAGAGGCTTCCAAGCAAGTGGTACATTGCTGGATGGACAATCACTGTTTTCCTCTGTGTGTGTATCATTTTCAGCAGCAACGCCCAATGCTGTTGAATTGCAATGACCCTGAAGTGAATTAGGACACAATCCTGCTAAACTCTGTCATAGAATCATAGGATCATAGGATCATTTAGGTTGAAAAATACTTTTGAGATCGTCAAGTCCGACTGTTAACCTAGCACAACCAAGTCTACCACTAAAGGATGTCCCTGAGTGCCACATACATGTCTTTTAAATACCTGCAGGGATGGTGATTCAGCCACTTCCCTGGGCAGCTTGTTCCAGGGCTTGACAACCACTTCGGGGCAGAAATTTTTCCTGATATAACCTTAATCTCCTCTGGCACAACTTGAGGCCATTTCCTCTTGTTCTGTCACTTATTACTTGTGAGACTGTCCCCCCACCTTGCTTTAAGTCCCTTTCAGGGAGTTGTAGAGAGCAATAAGGTCTCCCCTCAGCCTCCTCTTCTCTGAACTAAACCACCCCCCTTCCCTCAGCTGTTCCTCATAACACTTCTGCTCTAGGCCCTTCACCAGCTTTGTTGCTACTCTTTGGTCATGCTCCAGTACCTCACTGTCCTTCTTGTAGTGAAGGGTCCAAAACTGAATATGGTACTTGAGGTGTGGCCTCACCAGTGCCAAGTACAGGGTCAGGATGATCACTTCCGTAGTCATGCTGGCCACAGCATTTCTGATACAGGCCAGGGTACTGTTGGCATTCTTGGCCACCTGGGCACACTGCTGGCTCATGTTCAGTCAGATGTCCACCAGCACTCCCATGTCCTTTTCTGCCAGGCAGCTTTCCAGCCACTCCTCCCCGAGCCTGTAGCATTGCCTTCAGTTCTGACCCAAGTGCAGGACCTGGCACTTGGCCTTTGTGAACCTCATACGACTGGTCTTGGCCCATGGATCCAGCCTGCCCAGATCCCTCTGTAGAGCCTCCCTACCTTCAAGCAGATTGACACTTCCACCCAGATTGATGTCTTCTGCAAACTTACTGAGGCCGCACTCGATCCCCTCATCCAGATCCCTGATAGATACTAAAGAGAAGAGGCCCCAGCACTGAGCCCTGGGGAACACTACTTGTGACCGCATGACCGATGGACTGCACGACCGTCTGCCAGCTGGATTGAAGTCCATTCACCACCACGCTCTGGGCCTGGCCATCCAGCCACTTCTATTCAGCAAAGCGTACACCCATCCAAGCCATGAGCAGACAGTTTTTTCATGAGAATGCTCTGGGAAACTGTGTCAACAGCTTTACTGAAGTTCAGATAAACAACATCCTTTCCCTCATCCATTAAGCAGGTCACCTTGTCATAGAAGGAGATTGGTTTAGTCAAGCAGGACCTGCCTCTCATAAACCTGTGCTGACTGGGCCTGATCACCTGGTTGTCCTGTGTGTGTTATATGATGACAGTCTGCTCCATAACCTTCTCGAGCACCACGATCAGACTGGCAGGCCTGTAGTTCCCCAGATCCTCTTTCCAGCCCTTCTAGATGGGTGTCATGTTTGCTACCCTCCAGTCCACTGGGACCTCCTAGGTTAGCCAATACTGCTGATAAATGATGGAAATTTGCTCATAGATCCATAGATCTAAGTGGTCACTGACCATTTACTCTTGGAGTTTGTGGGCTTCGTTCTGCTCTTCATCCCTGTCATCCAGCTCAGGGGCCAGGGTACCCAGAGCAGAACTGGTCTTCTAAATTACTGTTACAGGTCCACTCACGTCTAGCAGGCAAGCTGAAGAGTAAAAGTGCCATTTGACTCAGAAGAAGCAAAATAGCATATTTCCCTGGAAAGACTACTATTGGGTTTCTAGAAAAGGAGGAGTGGAAAATTCGCATGTACAGCAGGGCAAAATGCTTCCTTGCTCAGAAGAAAATCTGGAAAGTTTGTGTTCTTGTAATGTGGGTGCTGTGGAGGGGCTTGTGGACTCCAAGGGACTTCTTGAAGTAGCAAGTGGAGCCAGTTTTGGAGTAGCCACTAGAGCGCACTGTAGTTTCAGGGAAGGGAAGAGACTTGTGTCGTCTCATTTTTTAAGAATATAAAATTGCACCGTGTTTGGCAGGTTGTTTGGAGTGTTGTTGGTTCGTTGAGATTTTTTTGTCCTGTTTGTAATTATTTTTGCCTTCACTGTGTTTTTATGGAAACATTAAGTGCTGTCTGGTTTTGGTCAGTGTCTGGTCTATACCTTCATTATTTTCTATGACAAAAGGACTTTACTGTAACAGGACCATTCACTATGGATATTGTTAACAACTTGTGACTTTAAGATGTTTATTTATATATGATCACTAATTTTGCTGAACTACATTTTTTTTAATTGCTTGTATTCTTTATAGGCAGAGTAACAGGACTCTACAGTATGAATAGCCTAATAACCTGTGTTACTTTATATGTAACTAGTTTGAAGGGGGTTATTCTACAGTCGTTTTTAAATTAACTAGCTCTGAAGGATATGGTATGTGCAATAGTCCTGAAATGATACTCAATAAATATCTTTACAGAGCCTCTGAATTACAGTGTTTTGTGTCTTAATGTTGTGCCATTAAAAGTACTTTTCAGCTAGGGCACCATTTGGGAAAAAAAATCACCACACTGAAACAAAATAAAACTTTCAGGTTTTGAATATGAAATCTTTAATCTTTAATCTTTAATCGCAATGCTGGGGTTGACATGAGACCCAAAAAAGAACACATTTCACTTGCTAATGCTTCTAAACAGTTTCACACTTCAAAATGTCAGCCTTTTAACAAAGGCGTTTAACTGATATGCTGAAGTACTTCTGTGGAAATACTGAGATGAGCATAGTGAAACACACACAGTACTGTAACTCTGGAGGGAAATGTGGAATTTTCCAGAGTTCACTCTTGCAAAGTTTTCCAAGTATTTGCCTTAGGGAGCACACTAGAGGCACATTTCACAAATTTGGTAGAAATTATAATGAATAAGGAGTATACACGTGCCATGTTGTGTTTTAGCCTTTCTTAATGAGCTGATGTACCTAAGTGTTTCATTTAACTACAGAATAACATCACCCTTACTTTATTTTTTCATCAGTGTTATCTATGCATACAGTCCAAAGATGATGAATTTCGGTTCTTAAAGGAGGTTTGGGAGAACTGAGCACAGTAGGTTGTAATAGAAGTTCTTCTGCAGTCTGACTCTTAAGGGGTGCAGTTAGCATCTTCTTCAGTTCCCAGAGTCTGTCATGCTAAGAAGTGAAGGGTTACTCTTTTTTACTCAGACTGGGGTTTGATGAAGTACTTCACTTCAATGGCCATTTTTATGTTTTGGTTTTTTTTAAATCAGTGGAATTACTCAAGATTTAGCAACTGCTTAAAATGTGGATAAGAGCTTCAGTAAGGCCCTGCAAAAACGTGTTTAATTACATTAGTAATAATGAGAATGCTCAAATACTAGAGATATTGCTAAACACCCCAGCCAGTTTTAAAGAAACCATCTCAAGAGTTCTTGTTAAATTCAGCATCATTCAAGAAACATCTGCTATAAAAGCAGCAATCCAGCAGTCATCTCCAAGGCATGGAGAAAGGTATGCTTTAAGTACCCTGAAGTTACATTTTCTCAGGGGGGAAGGGGTCATATCTATAAAATACATATATTATAAATAGGTATTACAGAGATTGACCAATCGATCGATCATACTCATTTCAGGCTCTTTCCTTGCCTTTGCCTCTCTGTCTAGAATAAACAAACCAATCCTCTTCCCTTCTGCACCGAATATGGGGGGGTGGGTTTTGTTTTGTTTTGTTTTTTTCACCTGAGAATAATAGCAGTTTTTCAAAAGAGCCTTTAGCTGCTGATGCTGCGTTCTGTAGGGTAGATCTGTGTTGTTTTTAAGTCTGAAAGGAAGTCAGCCCCACTGAGGGGATGGTTCACTTTTTAATCTGTAGCCCCGAGGTCTTTTTGAAGAGCCGTGGTGCTGCGCTTGTGGAACGCAGCAGACTGCATCGGGTGCTTGGGGCCTCTTGCCACTGAAGACCTCTATGCCTTTTCAGCTCTCACACACATCTACTGACTTCCTGGCATGTCTGTCTGTCCATAACTGAGGTATTACCCATCTGTCTGTAGACAGATGGTGTCTGTTGCTGTTGCCATATTGCTCATGAGCAGCTTGTCCCACAAGCCGCAGTCATGTGTGTGCTAAAGTTGTGGTACTTTACACCAAGAGCTCATGTGCAAGCATATCTGTTGCATAATTCTGTGAAATTAGGTAATAATTCATCTTGTTACTGTGGAAAGTCCAACATAATAGAGTTAACTTCAGGGGCATTTGAAGAGATCCTGCCTGGAGCTGAATTGTGGTGGGTAAAATGAAAATTTACTTAAGTAACCCAGTAGATTTGACACCCTTGGAAGGCAGAACCATGCAAGTGTTGAGAGCACCTTAGCTCCTTTTCCCTGCAGTCTGTGAGACTAGAGATTCACAGTTTAGAAAGGGGAGTACCTTTAGAGCTTTCTGAATATTAGCTTTTGCATCAGAAGTGTTTGATACTTTTACATCAGAGAGGAAGTGGATTCAGTTACCAGTTGGATTGTCCATCCTGTTGTGTAGCTAGAAGTCAGATGTCCAATCCAGGAGACAGGATAGGGCTGCAGTCAGGTATGTTTCTGATGGAGCTGAAGCAGAGGCTGAAGACCAGAGAGTCTCAGGAGGAAAGGCAAACCTCCAAAGAGAGGACCCTTAAGGCCTATTACAGCACTCAGGGCCCTGACAGAACCCAAGGGGAGGTACATAATTTGTAAACAGGAGGAAAATACTATTACATCTCCACTTCCAGTGTCCCCTATGTTATTTTTTCAATTTCCCTGTTTACATATTACTTGATTTCCTCACTGTTGCAGCACATCAACATTGTTGGAAATACCTCAACAACGGTGCAAACGTTTGCCTTGCATTTGGTCACTCTGATTTCAAAAGCACACACTATCTACAGGTCTGGAGGAGTCACTACCTCTATTAGACTAAGGTGATTATAAAAGCTGAAACAAATGACACTTGAATGCCCAAGTAATGTGTTTACTGAATGCACCCACAGGCATTAATTTCACCAGCCATTAGCTTCAGTACCTCATCACCATACCTTCCATGCAGTAACTATGGTTGCACATTAAAGAATTTGCAACGTAAAGGGAGAAAATATAGGTGGAAAGGCAGACTGTCATCTTTGTTTCCTTGCACTGCAATGTTGTCTTACGGCCCAAGCCCCTTCCCTAGTTAAGAGCTTTCTTTCAGATTGCAAGGTTCAGCATCAGAAGAAGACAGCAGCCATCAGCTTACTAACCACAAGTATTATGAGTCACTTCATGCTTGGTCTGGTATCTGTATACCCAGTAGCTGTGCAGGTTAGCTCTGGAAAAGTATAAGACACCAATAAATATGTTTTTCCAAGCCCTCACGTGGCTTCTGTAAGTCACAATCAGACTGCAAGGAAAAAACTCTCAAACTTCAGGAAACACTAAACTACTGAAACCCAAATGAAAAGTTCCTCAACTCAGCAGCAGCTGCCTGAGGGATATGTATGACAGCAGTGGGCTCCAAAATCCTCTTCAGCCCCTGCAGCTGGCTTCTTTCCTGCACATCACGCAGTTCATGTGCACAGTGCCCATACTCACGAGTACCTGTTTTTCCCTGCTCTCTCCTAGAGGCAGCTGCTCCCCACATCTGTCTGTGAGAAGGCTCAGCACCCCCAAACCCATACATGCTGGCTTCCAGTCCTGTTGCATGACCTTCACCTGGGCATCTGGCAACTTCTGAGTTCCCCGTCTGCATCGGACAAAGTCTTAAGGAGTACAGAACAGCAAAATGCAAATTTCTGCACAAGTATCATAAAATTATTTACATCACACATTGTTTTGTCAGTAAAAGGGGTCTTCTGACAGTAAGCTCTGCCTGACAGTCTGGTTCAGAGCACTAACAAAGTTGCATTCTTCTTACAGATCCACTTCTTTAATGTCTGGCAGTTATCTGCTTGGATCATGTTTTTTCTTCTATAAACAGCACAGTTCTTGTCAGTCTCAATTCTATTTTCAGGTATCCTGGTGAGAGGACAAAAGTAATGAAAAGAGTTGTCAGCTTCAAATTCAGTATTGGATAAAAATATTGATGATATCCTCCTGAATGAGGGGTTTGGGTGGCACCCATTCAGTAACCCACCAAGGCACAGTGCCTCAACAGCCAGATGTAAGTGGGCTGGGCACCCATAGCAAAGCCTGCTGGCTACTGAGGAATGGAAGCTCAGGAATATTAGTGTAAGAAGGATAAGAAAACCTCCACGTGCAGCCACTATCATAGTGAGAAGGAGGGGAAGGACCCTTCAGCTGCACAGATCTCAGCACCCATGTTATGTGACAAGCATCACGTTCAGCAGAGGAGGTCTGTAAAGTGAGAGAGTTTGTTGACAGTGATTTCAGCAGCAGAAGTGTATTGAATGTCCCTCTGCATTAGTACATACATGAACTGTGATTGTCGTTGGTCTTGCAAGCAGAACAAATCTGTTTCCAAAGGTGCCCAGCAGAAATGAGTTAACCTAGAGCTGGCCATGAAATAGGATGAATAGGTGCCTGAAGCTGCAGGACTAGATCTACACTTTAGGAAATTAGCTTGGCTTCAGAGTAGTGTTTCCAGGCAGAGCACCATACTTTTGCTATGGCCAGAGACACCCTTCCCCACAAATCATCACCTGTTTTCTTTTACTCCAGGATCTTCAGCTGAACTCCATTGTTTCTTCCTTTCTTGACTCTCATACCCAATCCAGATATATTTGGTATCTTTCTCTTTATTGTCTATAAATTCCTACGGAGCAAGTAGAAACATGTTACCCAACAGCAGAGCTTTTCTGCTCTGCTCAGGTCACTGCCCTGTCTCGTGCACAGCTTCTCATGTAGCCCCCCCATGGAGAGCAAGGGCAGCAATCCAGCCCTGGCAAAGCAACCCACTGCAACAACCCACACACGTAGGACCAGCCACTGAGTTTTCGATTCAGGCTGGTGCTCAGGCTGATGAGCAAAGAAAAACCTCAGTGGTGCTCCTCACCCTAATAAATCAGGTTGTAAAGTCTGGTCTTTAAAGTGGAAGACCTGTTCCTCAGCGAACAATGACTTTCTCAGAAGAGCTGTTCAGTGGTACCTTGCTATTGGTTTTCCCAAAGGAAAATGAGAAGGAGGTTTGGCTGAATTTCCATTTAGTGGTTGAATCAGACTTCTCTCCCCAGAGCCAAGTAATGGAAATGGATGGCCAGCATTTCCTTCTGCCAGTCAAAACTACTCTGGCTTCCACACTTGCATCTCTTGTGCTTCTTCTCTTCAGCTCTACTCCGTTGACACTCTCAAAACAAGCTCCTGTCCATGGGGAGTCAGATGCCCTGCACTTGATGGGGCTCTTGCTCACCTGCATCTGGGCCATGTTTACTTTGGTTTGACTAGGGCAGATGCCTGTCACACAATTTTAGGGCTGCTGCAAGACTCACCATCTCAATTTCATCTTCAATGACAAGAAGCTGAGATTTCCTGGCCAGACAGTTCCTCTGGCTGTCACCCCAGCTTACAGCTTCCTCAGAGAAGTAGTAACATCTCCCCCTGTGTAGCTGCCACCCTGGAGGACACAACTCGCACGTTGTTCCTGTGGGTGGAGAGAGGGAACCATTAGCTCATACCATGGCTTTTTCTGGTTGCCTTGTAGCACTTTATGTTCATGTGCCTGACTGGCTGGTCCAAGAGTGGCCAGTTCTCACTCCCAAGCATGTGTTGGCTGGGTGCAGAGAGACATTTAAAGGCTCCAGTGCCTCCCCTCAGCTTCCCACTCCTTAGCCATGGTGCCTGGCACTTCTGCACTCCCCCTGCACACCATCAGGCTCTGTGCCTCCCTGTGCACCCAGGGAGAGCACCGAGAGGACCTAGAGGGCTGCAAGGATACTTTTCATCCTCCCACGTGCAGCCCTTGTGAGCAGACACCATACAATATGACGTGTATGAAGTGTTTGGATTTACTACATGATGTGACTGGAAAGCACAGGCACCTAGATGACGTCCAAATTATGTCCATGGAACTGGAGAAGGAACTATGTTAAATAAGGGGAACACTGCTATTCCTAGGTCTACTTCCCAAATCATGCAGAGCATCTGGGAGGCACGACTCCCACACATTTTCTGTCTTGGCTTCCTCTAATGTTTCAAAGTAACATCATTACAGTCAGCCCTTAGAAAAACATTAGTATTTGCCAACAAATAATAGACCCACAATAGAAAGACTAAGAAGGTTTTCCCCTGCCTAATCCTTGCAAAAAGGATAGGAAAGCTAAATTCCCTCCCACTCTTTGGAACAATTATTGTCTGGAAAGTGTTCTCCAGGACAAGGGGAGAATCTGTGAAATATGGCATTTCTGAAAGCTGTTCCTGGCAGAAAAAAAAAAAAAGTGAAGAAAGTACCCGAAACTATTTGTTGATACTGAAAGAGGAGAAAAACTATTGTTAAACTGATATTTTAGATCCCATCATCACTTCTGTGAAGGACCACCATGCTCCCTGGGTAGTACCGGTAATTTCCCATAAACTGCAGGGTGTCATAGAAATGGGAACAGAGACAACAGCAGCGTGCGTGCAACATGTCCTCTCTGTTCTGGCAGGACTAACTTTGCTCACCTTGTCCATCTTCACACAGCTCCTCCATGAGCCATTTCAGGAGCATCACCGAGTCAGTCTTTTCAGAGGAAACGTGATCGCCAGTGCTATTCAGGACATCCTGGGACAAACTTTCTGCTTTTCCTGCTCTGCCCTTCAAAACTTGACCAAAGCAAGACAAAACAAAAACAACAAACAAAACAAAACAATTATGGTTATCAACCGTGTCAAGGAAATATGGGTTTTACATCCAGTGTTATGCAGTGAATGTGAGGCTGTGTGTGTGTCTGTGTGTACACACTGAGGGGATATACACAGTTAAGAGAATACTCAGTTTGTATAACTGACTGGCAAAGAGTGTTGCTGCTGAATAATATGCACAGTACAGGAAAAGAAACTAAGTTTGTAATCTTTTGTTAGCTGGATATATAAAGAATACACAATATTTCTGTGAGATTTTAGGAAGTGTTTGGGAAGTATATGTTTTCCCTGAAGTTTTTCAAGACTTTTCTCCTAGGAAATGGATATGTTCTCTGGAACTGTTCTTCTACAACTGGAGCATCCTGCGGATTATATTACTAGTACCAGAGAAGTCTGATTTAGTGAAATATTCCAAAGTCTGATTTTTGTCTTATTTGTTCAAACCTACAAAATAATTATGTTAAACGCTCTTAAAGTAGCATCACAGATGCAGCTTTTAACTTGTAAGTCAGGAAGGCCAGATGTTTTGATTGTCATAATAATCTCAAATCAGCTTCTACAGCCTTTCAGCATCACTGATGACAAGGTAGACTGCAGCAGCTCCCCTTTATCTGCACTATAGATGTTAAATGACAAGTAGTAAATGTTCCCTTTGGAACACAACATTCATTTTCCTGTATTTGTGTATAACTCGACACCTTTAATGTGACATTAAGGGAATTTTTCTTTTCTCATCACTCTGTTTGTGAGGTTTGACCATGTCTACAAGGAAGAGATGAAGCAGATGGTAGGTTCTACTCACATTGTTTGGCTAGTACGGCTGTGACACCTAGCAGGAAGAGCACAAGGACTCCCAGGACCAGTGCAACATAGAACCAGGCTGAGTGCCTGTGACGGCAGCCTGGAGGGAGGCAGAAGGAAGAGCAGCTTAAGGTCTTTGCATTGTTATAATTATCACTGCCTTTATGTTTGCCAGTCTCTTTTGTAGAAACAGAAGAGAAACCATCGGTTAAAATCAGTCTGCCGTTTGAAGGATGCAGGGATATCTTACTTATTAAAAATTTGCATCCATTTTCCACATGTGAAAGTGAAAATGAAAGCTCATTTTGTCAGATAGAGCAAGCGATTTTCAATCAACCATGTCATTAAGAATCCTCTCTTTGTCCTTTGAGTTAATTTTTTCAAGCAGCGACTCCTCCCACCTACCCACCCACACCCTGCAAGACCCTGCACAGCATTTCAAGGGAAGTATCAAGGATAGTCTGTGATATGTTCTTCCTCTCTGGTCACCCTCTCCTGTGCTAATGTACCTGTCATGACTGAAAGCTAATTGACTTGAATGTGCAGAAAAGACAAAAAAATCCAATACTGACACCATAGCACAGTGGAGTACATCTGATCAAGGATCTCTCTAGCCATTTGGTATTCATCCTGTGAAAGTGAAACACTCAGGAAGAGGAAGGACCTGAGGAAATTTGGGGTCAGGGTGCCATTTCCACAAGCCACAGAGTTGCACTTTCAGAAGTGCTCTTTTCCTGACCTAGCCTGCGTGAGATGAGCAAATGCTCCGTTCTCCTGCTGCCAGAGATGTGTTTTGTAACATTCCCTTTCAGCTCACAGAGTTCTGTGGGCCTGACCTTGTCTGGTGGTACATGTCCTTCAGTACAGAGAGGTTGGCAATCATCAGCACACAAACTGCATAGAGAGAGCTGGGTATTGCACTACTTCCAAAGCCAAATGTGACCCTGTGACTGTTCCTGCAGAGACACTGACAGGCGATTCCTAAAATAAAAATGTGGAATTTTACTTTCCTATGCTAAATTTTCAATGTAGGGCGCAGAGATTTTTCTTTAAATTATTGTAAATATCTCTTTCAATATTGTTTTTACAAGGAAAGTACATAACCCAATATAAAAAAAAAAAAAATTATAAAATGTTAAATCAGTTCTTTATTGTGAGATTGTACATAAAGAATCTCGATATCGGGTTTTACTGCTGGGTAATAGGAAAGACTAAATCTATAATTAGAAACTAAGAACCAAACAAAACCCCACACTACCAGAAGCAGAAGTCTCTGATCCGCGGCTCCTTTCGGGTTTCGGCTTCACGCGCAGCTCAGCGTATGTGATGGTGTTTCCTGTAAGGAGCAGGGAAATGCTGACATTTGTGGTTGTGTGAGCCACTAAATGGAGAAACAATGAAGAATTGCACAGAAGACTGAGTCTATATAAAAAGGGGCGTGTCTTTCAAGAGCTGCCAGTTCAGCTTTATCTTTTTATTTTTTTTGCTTTGCTTTTTTTTTTTGTTAAAGAAACAACAGGCAAGATATGACACATTATTTCCTGCTGCTGTCAGGAAGTAACCAGAAGTCTCCTCCATAACCTTGTTTGAACTACTTGGGTCCTGTGTGGCTGGACAAGGAGGCAGACAGACGTACTGAAGGATGGGTACGACCTGGGTACTCTCCATACCAAACATCCTATATGATGCTAAGCCATGTCAGGAGGTATCATAGAGGCTTAAGGGGCATCAGGGCATTGATCTTTTTGTGGAGAAGGGAAACTCCAAAGGGAAAACAGTCACTCAGGGAAATGCTTTGGCAGCAAGGTGATTCTT